ACAGACAAATAATTGGTTTGTAAATTGTGGGTGCCATATCGACATGCCACTTCAATTAGGGGGCAGGTGTTACTTATTAATTTCATGGATCTGGAATCTTACTCTTTTTATCGTTACTATTTATCTCAATATTATAGTCAATCCATTCTTCGACCATGAGATCAAATTCGTAAATAATCAAACATCTTCAACAAGGCTTTGATCTGCACGTTCCAACTTGGGATCCCGGCTTTCATGTACGCATCGTGAATAACTATGGCCAATTCGAATTAAGGCGAACACAATTTGCACTTAGTCAGCAACACCTTTCTGCATTTCTACGTCATCTTTATTTTCCTAATAGAGACACTATTATTATTATTATTATTATTATTATTATTATTATTATTATTATTATTATTTCCTTTGATTTCTGGCGTCTACACATTTCTTTCTGGGTCCCGCCCATGGACCTAAGGTTAGAAATGGCATCATGACATTTTCCACTGACGAAAAAAAATTTACATAGATAAAGCCCTTCGTAAAATGTGGGCTGTACTTGTCAGAACAATTTTTTGTATCTTTTTGAGGCATTGACTTCCAGGAATCTCTTCAATTAGTCTATTGGAATCTTTTCCAACTAATCCTAGGGCTCCGACTACAATAGGGATTGTTGATGTTCCCATGTGCCACATTTTTGAGATTTCTATTTCAAGGTCCTTGTATTTTGACAGATTATTATTATTATTATTATTATTATTATTATTATTATTATTATTATTCCCAGCTATGGGTCAGATAATAGAACAAATTGGGTCCTCTAGCCGTGGTTGGCAACCAGACTAGGAAAAATAAAAACTCTGATTTCAAAATCGTGTGTAACCTTGGCGAATCGCATACTATGCAGCCGATATAGTTCATAATGACATTATGATCCCATCTACCGTCAATGCGATAGAATCGATTATTATTATCATTATTAATGTGAGAGAGAGAGTAGAGTATATGCCAACAAAAGCGAGACACGGTACAAATATACGCCAAATGCCATCACTATCATTACACTCCGTTTCATAAGGGTATACCTCGCACATGCATTACAGCCAAATGTGTGTAGCAGGTTTCTATAAAAGCAGCGCCTGCCTAAACTTGCAGGCATGGCTCAGTTAGAAATCTCTTGAGGTAAGCCATTTCGTTCAGTTTCCGATTACTTCCAAGTGTCTATATGGGATTCCCAAGTCATCTTAAAATAAAACACAACCTCTCTCGACTCCATGTTGCTACACCACAGCTGAAAAACGTTGCACAGTGCATCAGTCCTCAAGAAGCCTTAAGGTCAGGCAACTGATAAGCAAATATGTGGGACTGAAATGGATATTGTTTCAGTTCATCTTGTTTAACTATGACAAAACCTGTTACCGTATTTGACGGCATATAAGACGCACGGGTGTATAAGACGCATCCCAATTTCAGTGGGGAAAATCAAGAAAAAATTAGTAGTTAGTAAAATTAGTAAAATTATTAGTAAATAGTACAGCCTAGGTTACATTTACAAGGTATTATTTTGGTTAAACAAGCCATGATTACAATTAAACGAAAAATAATAAGAAAAAAGAACACGAGCCTATAAAAACTATTTTATCCAAAGGTAAGAAAACAAAATAGAAATCAAGCAATTATTACAATTGAGTAAAACAGTACAGTTACCATTAAAATTTTATTCATCTTCAAATCCATAAAATTCTTCGTTATCAAAACTGATACTCATTTTCAATACTACTATAATCGTCGTTAAATAATACGTCATCTTCCGTTTCATTGAGAGCATTGGTAATGCCACACATTTTAAAAGATTTCACAACAATTTCATGTCTAATATTATCACAGACATGCTTCACCCATTTGCAGATTTGTGCAATGGTGGGTCTTTTTATTCTTCCTGTAAATGTAAGGTCGTGATCAGGCATTGAAATCTACGTCTTCTATGGATTCTTCATGTTTAAGTCTAAGCTAATAGGAGTTGCCAAGTAGCGAATTTCGGCCGAATATTGCGAATTTTAAACCTACATATGACATATAAGACGCAGGCGAATCTTAAAAGATATTTTTAGCAAAAAAAAAAAAAAAAAAAAAAAAAAGTGCGCCTTATACGCCAAATACGGTATATTTCCAATCAGTTAAGATCAGAAGCCTGGAGAGAAATGCTTGGCTTAACTCATTTATTTATTTATTATTAACATTTATTATTATTATTAATACAGTCATTATTATTATTATTACTATTTTTATTATTATTATTATTTATTATTATTATTATTAATATTACAATTACTATTGCTATTACTATTATAATTATTATTATTATTATTGCTATTATTACTATTACTATTATTCTTAATATTAATATTACTACTATTTTATTACTACTAATATTACTATTATTATTATTATATTAATATTACTAGTATTATTATAACTATTACTAGTATCATTACTCTTGCTATTATTATTACCATTACTATTATTATTACACTTATTAATATTATTATTTTATTGCTATCATGAATACTCTTACTACTATTATTAGCATTATTATTATTACTATTATTATTATTATCATCATCATTCGATTTCTGCTATGGACACACTACCTACCAAGTCTGCGGAAAGACCTAAGGCAGGTCGTGGTGTGTTGTTATGGCCACATTTCATGTTAATTTTTTTTTTTTTTTTTTTTTTTTTTATCTCCGATGAAGTTGCTAGCGTTACATAGACAAAGTTCTCCTTAGTGTGTGTGCTGTACTTAATAAGACAATTTTCTGTATGTCTCTTAAGCTGGGGTTTCCAGGATTCTTTCAATGTGTTGTTTTGTTCCATTTTTTATAATTCCAAGTGCACCTATTACCACTGGTATTATTCTTGTTTTCAATTTCCACATTTTTTTCTATTTCAATTTCCAGGTCTTTGTATTTTGATAGTTTTTCAAATTCCTTGGTTGCTATGTTACAATCCGCTGTTTGCCATATCAATTAGTAGGCAAGTTTTTTCTTTCTGGTTTTTGACAATAATGTCTGGCCTATTTGCTTCAATTTTTCTGTCTGTGTGGATGGTATAATCCCATAGAATGGTGACATCTTCTATTTCTGTAACCGGCGCTGGCCGATGTTCATACCAGTGTTTGCTTACACATTTTCCAAAGTGTTTGCACATTGTCCAGTGTAAGTATTGCCCCACTCTATCGTGACGATTTTTATATTCATTTGGGGCAAGTATAGAACATCCTGAGATTAGATGGTCTATTGTTTCTTGGTATTTGTCACAGAACCTGCATTTTGGATCCACATTATTATGTATGATATTTGCCTGAAAATTCCTAGTGAAAAGACTCTGGTCTTGCGCTGCAAGAATAAAGCCTTCAGTTTCAGACTTTAATCCAGATGCTCGTAACCATCGATGAGTATTAACTTTATCAACATTGGGTTTATTTGCACGTTCTGGATATTGGCCATGCAGAGGTTTGTCTTGCCAGCGTTGTTTCATCTGTTCAAGGGCTTTATCCTTGGCTTTCTTTTTTTTTTCATATCTTTTGCTGCAATAGTTGGTTCTTGGCTTCTGTTTTGATTTACTACAGAATCTACTAAATGTAAATGTTGTTTGTATTTACTGCCTTCTTTTATTATTGAATATTTTTTCTTTCTGTTTTCATGTTGTTTCACTAATTTTATCATCCAGTCATTTGTTGTTTCCATGTAAGTTAGTAAGCCAATAGTTGTTGTCTTGTATGACAATTCTAGCTGAATAAGACCTCTTCCACCTTCTTTACGGGGTATGTATAGACGGTCTAGATCAGCCTTTGGATGATGCATCTTATACTTAGAAAGAAGCTTTCTTGTTTTAGAATCCATTTGTCTGATGTCATTTAGAGTCCAGTTCAAGATGTTGAAACTATATTGGACCACTGGGATGGCAAGGTTATTAATGGCCATAATTCTGTTCTGAGAATTCAATTCAGTTTTTAATACCAGTCGTACCCTTCTATAGTACTCTTTACGCACTATTTCTTTCATTTTCTTATGGTGAATTCCTTCACTCTCATTTACACCTAGGTACTTATAAGCTTCTCCTTGTTCTAAATCTTTTATTGTTACAGCAGGGTCTAAACTAATAGAGGAAGTTTGTTGTAGCGATCCTCGTAAATTATTACTATTATTATTAATGCTATTATTATTATTACTATTGCTATTACTATTATTAATATTATTACTATTACTATTAGTTTATTATTTTTATTAGTATTACTATTATTATTATTATTATTATTATCAAATGCTTCATTTAAAAATCGTAATTCTTTCTTCTCTTTTTACTCCTTTTTCGTATTTATTCTCGTAACCACTGACCTTTTCTCTTTCACTTTCCTATCTTTTCTTTTTACCTCACTTTTTTTTACCTCTTTTTCTTGTCCACCCCCCCTCTCCACCATTCATAATACCATCAATCTTCTCGTGAATAACACCATTTTCATAATCTAATATTGAAAAACCAACAGAGAATTTTTTTCCACTTGTCAATTGATTATTGAAGTAGACACATCGTCTGAATGTATCAGGATTTAAAAATGTGATTATCTCATTATTAAATAAACACTTTGAGGGGGCGCTGAAAAATTTTCAAAATCAAGATTTCAATTAGCAAATAGAATACTTTCGGAAAATTTAAAGAAAATTGAAAAATCTATGTAGAAAGTGTGTTGAGATGAGGTGGAACTATAGAGAAGGGAATGTCTTGAGCTCCAGTCCATTTCTGGTCAAATCCCTTTTCGCACGCGCCATATCTTTGTTTCAAGAGAAAACGTATATATTTTTTAATTTGTTCTTGAATCAGGCATTACCAAATCTTGAAATAAAAACACTTTTTTTGTTTTAGCAGAAACATATTTAATTATACAATACTATAATTTTTTTTGTATTAAAAAATATTCTTTCTTTAATATGCTATCTCCTGTCTGGACGTGGGCAATCATGGCTCTTGGCAACTTCCTCTATTTTGTAACTTTTGCCCTTGTACTCTCTCCCTCTCTCTCTGTCTCTCCCCTCTCTCTCTTCCGCTCTCTCTCTCTCTCACTCTCTCCTCCTCTCTCTCACTCCCTCTCTCTCTCCCCCTCTCTCCCTCTCTCACACTCTCTCTCCTCTCTCCCCCTCTCTCTCTCTCTCCCTCTCTCTCCTCTCTTCCCCTCTCTCTCCTCTCCCCTCTCTCTCCTCTCCACCCCCTCTCCCTCCCTCCCTCTCTCTCCTCTCTTCCCCATCTCTCCTCTCTCCCCTCTCTCTCCTCTCTCCCTCCCTCTCTCCTCTCTCTCCCTCTCTCTCCCCTCTCTCTCTCTCACCCCTCTCTCTCCTCTCCCCCCTCTCTCTCACTCTCTCCCTCCCTCTCTCTCTCCCTCTCTCTCCTCCCTCTCTCTCCCTCTCTTTCCCCCATCTCTCTCCCCCCCTCTCTCTCCCCTCTCCCTCCTCTCTCCTCCCTCTCTCCTCCTCTCTCCTCCCTCTCTCCCCTCTCTCTCCCTCCCCTCTCCCCCCTCTCTCACTCTCTTTTAGTCGCTTTTTTACTTTTTTTTCTCGAAGCCTTTCCTTTTTAATAAAATAATTTTTATTACACCATGAGTATGTCCTGGGTATGACGATAAACTACATCTGATCCGGGTGGCAGCACCACTTAGGGTCCCAGGTATGGAGGGGGGGGGGGAATAGTGAACCCTCACACAGAAATCAAAAAACTTGTATGCCAGCAATACATTACATTTATACGTTACATTTGTGTTGTGAAATTAACAGCAATACATTTTTATATATATATAAAAAAGAATTACCAACAAAACATTTTATGGCAAAAGGAGAAAGAATATATTTGATAGTAAAATGACCAACAATAGATTTTTAAAGTAAAATCACCAGCGATACATTTTATAATAAAATGACCATTTATACATTTTTTGTAGTGACCAACAATACATTTGTATAGCAGAATTGAAGACATCACATACATTATTAAAAAATAAAAAAAACATTGCTATATTTTTAACTTCATTACGGAGAAACAGATTTTCATTCCTTGTTTGATTTTGTAAGATTATTTGGTAAATAAATCAAGCTGAGTAATTACGATTTCATTATGAAAAAATGTCATTTTCTTGAATTAATTATAAAATTTGAATTTTCATATTTCGATTTCAGCATTAAATGACCCATATAGATGTTGGTAAACCAAACACTCGTGATTAATATTCGTTAAAGAATGCCACTAATTTTTTAAGTTTTCCATTTACGTCGTGATATTTCTTGGCACTCTTGATATTACTGACCTTACTTTTGAAATATGAATTTCTTGCAAGTTCTGTTCTCTTTTAAGAGCCTCTAAGAATTTCCATATTGTGGGATGATGGGATGACATTTGGTGAAAAAACCTTATGTCATCCTTCAAGGGCGTTATTAGTTCGAAGTAAATCCCTACTGACTCTCTCAAAGTAAGGCAACATACATATTTCAAACTTTGAATAATTATTATTTAGTATAAGTGTTCTTTCGATTAATTAGCATTCAAACAATTAATTATTAATATTATTTTACTTTGAGAAATTAATTTATGTTTTATATATTTTAAATGATAGAAAGTTTTGAATTTGGTACAATTAATTCCGTACACGTGTGCGTGCCAAGAAAGAGAGATAGTCAGAGAAACAGAAATAGATATGAAAAGTCTCAAATAGATAGATAGATAGATAGATAGATAGATAGATAGATAGAGTTTTGAATTTGGTACAATTAATTCCGTACACATGTGTGCGTGCCAGGAAAAGAGAGAGAGAGAGAGAGAGAGAGAGAGAGAGAGAGAAATAGATATGAAGAGACTGAGAAAGATAGGTTGTACGTGAGTAAATATTAATTTCAACCCTGAACTTTAACCTGTCACCCTAGGCCAAAGTCATGTTTAGCGGCAATTTCGCAAGGTGTGGCTAAGAACCGAAGCCCCTGTTCCACTCACATGTTTGCAGTTGGAAAATGAGCCGTTCTCGACCTGGCCAAGGCTCGAACTCAGAGACACACCAAACGCATTCTCATGATTCCATTTTATCTCGACAGCAATCTACTTTCGGCAATTAATAAAAAAATAAATAAATAAATAAAACGTCACCAAATTCTTTTTTGATTATTCAAACTGGCTTCGTATAGTTTTAATGATACTAAAAGAAAGGAAAGAAGATAATTAAAGACGAAGGAAAAAAATAACAAGAAAATTAATTTCATGATTTTTAATATGGACGGACAACTGAAAGTGTATCACGGACAAAAACTCTTTCAGAAATAATCTAATCTCTTGATTGAGCTGTCCGCTTGAAGTATTTTCATTATTCTACATAATTATGAAGGAATTTTTTATTTTTCTTATCAAATCGCGAAATGAATGTTGTCTTGAACGCCCACTCTTCTAGATCTTTTTCTATTAATGCAGGTGTTCCCCCCATGGCTATATCCTTGAATCTAAGTTATTCCTAATTTTCATCAATGACCTTCCTGATGTCATCAGCTCCCAACTCGAGATGTATCCTGATGGCGAAAACTATTTTTCCTGTTTTCATAGTAAAATCTCGATAAAGTCATATCGACAGCTGATCTAAAAAAATGACTGACAGTTGTTTTTTTTTTAACTGGGGCAAGGAATGGTTTGTTAATTTTAACGCCCTCAAAACGACACTGCTCTCTATTAATCGTCTGAGAGAACCTATTTTTGCCTTTCATCATCATGGCTGATGCTAACCTCCAGGAAAGTGACACATTCCGCCTTCTCAGGCTAAGGCTCTCAGCTGGCAAAAAGTGGAAAGATTATATCAAATCAACCGTTATATCTGCAGCTAGGAAAGTTGTTTCACTGTGTCGTGCTAAACAATTTCCCCCCAAATCTATCTGACATATTTATAAGTCTACCATTCGTCCATGCATTGACTATTGCTGCCACATATACTACTCTAGCTATATATTTAGAGATCCATGATAAAATCCAAAGAAGAAATCTGCAATGTTATTGGTCCTGATCTGGTACCTCGGCTTCAGTCACTTTCCCACAGCCACAATGTAGCTTCCCTGTGCTTTTTCTATCAATACTTTCATGATAATTGTTATTTCCTCTATGGTGGTCTGTAGGGGTAGTCGTTTTTAAACGTTGTTATTTTATCCCTCACCGACAAATTGTACATATGGGAACTAGTTAGAACTTCATAGAGACTCTGAGGTATTATGGTGGCTGTAGTAAGAATGTTAAGTAAGATTGTGTTGTTTTGGTGTAAGGAATACTGTGGCATTTTGGGTTAGTAATTATGGCTAGCTAAGTTTAAGATACGACCGACTGAACACATGCCTTCCCTTATCGCCCCTTTTAACCTTGTGCCATAATTTTGTATTTGACAAAATAAATATTACTTTCCATTATGGTAGCTAGACTTTATGAATTTAAGCCCAGTACTAGATTGGCGGCAAGGTCTCATAATTTTACAGTGGAAATGGCTGGATGTATAAGTTCTGTGCTAACAGATTATTTTCTGACGTAATTCTCGCTTGTGGAATTTTCTTTCATCTCCATACTTTCCAGTCAACTTCGATCTCCAAAAATTAAAATGCAATGTCAATCGTTATTTTCTGTCTTCTTAATTCCTCTTCCTTTATTATTCTCGCACGTTAATATTTTTTTTTTCCTTTTCTAGTCACTAAACCTCTGCGTCTTAAGTGAATCCAATAACAATTGGAACTCGGATCTCTGATTAACAATTCTGAAACATTATCCATTACACCACCTGCACACCCAAGCTTTCTAACTTGCTATTACCAAGCCGTGTTACCCATCTAGATACTGACCAGGTCCGACGTTGCTTAAATTCGATGATCGTACGGGAACAGGTGTTTCAACATAATATGGCCGTCGCCTCTCTCTGTCTTTTCTACAAATACTTTCATAGTAATTGCTCCGATGAGTTGCTTCCGCTGGTTCCCAGACTTCGCGAATTCAAGCGACCTACGAGGCTGGCATCCTGCTCCCACCCTTTCACTGTTGAAACTGTTAAATGTAGCCGCCTCTTCTACACCAATAGTTTCATGTCTCGCACCTCTCGCCTGTGGAACTCCCTTCCCTTTTCCTGTTTCCCCGTTAGCTATAATCTCCAACTATACAAATGTAATGTCAATTGACATCTCCAGTTGTCTTGATTTATCCACTATTCTTCTCCTCATTCTTTCCTCTATCACTCCTATCCTGCTCTCGCTCCAAATCCTCTGTAACCCCTTGCGTCCTAGTGGCTTCCAGCTTTGCTTGGGATGAAATGCTTAAAAAAAAAGTCTGCGTCTTATTGTCTTCCTTGAGGTGAAATGATTAAAAAAATATTCTTGTAAAATCCTAAAGTATTAATCATTTTCGTTAAGCTTCCATGTCATCAGACGCAAATTGCAGTTTTGTCCGAAGCAATTTCTGAATTCCTGCAATTTAACTGCCAAAGGAGAACGAGCGATCAAATGGAAACAAAACAATGAAGAAGCGAAGATTAATAATAAAATTTGTCTAATAATGAAAATTGTTTATGTACGAATAGAAGAATAATCGAAAGAGAAATAAAGCCGGGATTAAAGCTCATTAAATCAGATCCAAATCCACGATCTTATCCCTCCTTGCCGGTATCCCCCCCCCCAGTTGACCATCTCTTCAGGGCTGTAGCCGTACTAACCATGCTTGGCCAATTGCAGGTTGGTGAACATATTTAGCCCTTAATTAGAGATTTTGAATTCAGAGTTCATACATTTCTAAAGGATATTTACACGTAACTGAATTTTAAGGAGGCTCGATAGGATAATGGATAACGGCCCGGATTGAGGAATTGGAGAACCGAGTTCGAAATCCAGTCGAGTTTATTACATTCACTTACCCTTGGGAAAGGTATAAATTCTCTTCCTTTCCCTCAGCTATGTCTAAATAGCAGATTGGGTTCTATAGCCTCGGGTGGTCGAGAAGAAGAGAAAACTCTGAATTTGGGTTGGGCTCCGTCAGGCTATTTTGCTCAAGACACAGTACATGTGCTGCCCTACAATTCTAGAGTCACGGGATTCGCGAATTTTCATCACTGTAAACGTTATTTTTAGCGGTTACTCATAGAACCCCATTTTATTTATCAAACAGTATATTAATTTATTTTCGTCTATCGAGAAATCATATTATTGGAAAATATACGCCTCTCTAGCCGGAACTTCTTTAATAAGATTTCTATCTGGTAGACGAAAATAAATAAACATACTGTTTAATAAATAAACAGAGCGTCTACTCAGATATGAGTATCCTCTAAAAATAACATTTAGATGTAATAAAAATCGGTCGGATTGATAAATTACTTTAAAAAATTGAAGTGTGGAAACATAACAAACTTGAACAGAATTCGAACACGGCACTCTGATTTTTCTATCCGAGCAACTAACCATTAATATACCTAGAAAATTTATAGGAATAAAACATTTGTAAAAGAATAAATTAACTAATGAATTGTGACCAAATGCATCACAAAATATGAATTAAAAAAAAAATGGTGATTTCCTAAGCACAAGGTCGAAAGTATTGGACACCTAGTGAGGATCGAACTCACAACTCAGTTGTAATTGTTCTAGCGAGACAAACTTGCTAACTTTTTTTACACCACCTCAGAGCGGCCACTTGATTTTCTAGGCGTAGAGACAAGGCTGAAAGTATGGGACACCCAGTGAGGATCGAACTCATTATACAGCTGTATTTGTCGTAAGCCAGAACATGCTTGTTACCCATTACGCCACACCGATTTCCCAAGATTATTAATAAAATATGTTTCGCTATAAAACCACTTCACTTCAAAATCCGAGAACCCATTAAGGGTCCTGATTCAGTTCGATAATAAAGATTATATGTCTCGTGTAATCAACATTTAATATTGCGCATATTATTATTAAAGGGATATATTTGGTAACAGAGATTTTTAATTGGTATATCTTCATATTTCCTTCAGCGGCTTTTTACCGACAATATTTGTTTCTTTAGCTTTTCAGCCATCATTCCAATGTTGTCATGAGTTTATCATTAATGACAATCAGCTCTGTCTATTACTGGTCGTAGAATGACAGCCTGAGTAGTTATGATGAAAAGCGAGTAAAATTAAGATGAAAGAAATACTACTCAAAAATTAATAATGGTTGATCATGTTCCATCAAATAATAAAACAAATCGACAGAGCGTTACAGCTGACCGCCATGAAATCAATAATGCAGATTTCTGACTTAAACACCTCCAAAATGATAATGTAAGTTCCCATGTTGTGGAGTTCGAAGTTTCCTTTCATTTCACATTCGTACAGTTTAATTTGAAGGCAAAAATGAATTAAGGAATTAATTATTAAATGAAAAAAGAAACCCCGAAAACTAAATCGTTAAAGAGAGAAAAGCCGCAAACGTTTTTATTATAATGTGATTTTTAAAAAATACTTTATTCTATATATATATATATATATATATATATGAAGAAATATACTCTTAAGGTGTGCTATATTTATGGGATAAAGTGCTCAATATGAGAGATAAAGCGTGTCTTCACTTATATATATATATATATATATATATAAATAAATATATATATATATAAATACTTTATTCTATATTTTTGCTACACGGGTTTCGGATTTTATGACCTTCATCAGGCGAAGACTGGTTATTTCCACATTTTATTTAAAGGAATTAATTTTTTTCTTTCCTATGTTAAATCTTTTAAATTTTGTCTTGTGTGTAGTAGTAGTCATCTGAATCCATCTTGAACTGGCTGAAAATATTTCTTTTGCTTGGGGTGGGGCATAATAAATTTTTTTTTTTGCAGAAATGTATTGCTGATAAGTTTTTAATGTTTATTTTTTTTACAAAAATGTGTTTCTGGTATTTTTTTTCACTGTGAAAACGCATTGCTGGTAAATTTACGATAAAAATGTTTATACTTTCATAGCGTTTTGACTCTTGTTTGGGGTGTTAAATATTTGCCCATAGCTTGTACCCTAACAGGTGTTGCCAGCCGGGGTCAGGGTGGACCTGGGTACAACAGCAAATAAGAATTGTTTCTACGCTCCTCAAAACCTCCTTGCTGCCGGATATAGTTTATCGTCATACCCAGGACTAATCTCAGTTCGTTCATATCTATCCTTCTATCTATGTATCTATTTATCTTGATGTGTTCTCATTTTGTAATAAACAATTTCACAGACAATGGTTTATTAGCATCAATCGACTCCGATGTTTCGCGCCAGATAGAAAAACAAAAGCCAATTGTAAATATTAATTCAAACAGGTGTCCACATGAAATATGAAAGAAGTGTACCATCAGTCAGTGCAGCGACGCAAGACCCAGAAAGATATACGTTTCTGTTGTCATGGCAACGTCTGGCATCTGACAATTTTGTCGCAAGAATCACATGTCTTTGCTAGAATCACAGCCGAATTCCATTTACAACAAACAAGCTTATTTGCTTTTTAAAATAATTGGATTTAAAAAGAAACAGTCGATAAAATGCAATGGCTATTTTTTTATAGTTCATTTGGGCGTTCGCTATAATAACGAATTTACTCCATCATAGCAAAGAATGTGTAGCGCCAATTTTTAATGAACTTTTAATTGCAACTCAATCTTTACTCAACTTCAAACACAAAGTTCTAGCACTGATATCATTTCACACACACACACACACACACACACACACACACAAGCGCGCACCAACACACACACACAAGCGCGCACCAACACACACACACACACACAGAGGCGCGTGCACCAACACACACACGCACACAAGCGCGCAGCAACACACACACACACACATGCGCGCACCAACGCACAAACACACAGAGGAGCGCGCATAAACACACACACACACACATACCCAGGCGCGTGCACCAACACACACACACAAACAAACTCGCATATTTACATAGAAACGAGAATTGTTTATTACACAATGAGAACACATTAAGATAATTAGATGCATAGATAGAAGGATAGATATGAACGAACTGAGTTCCTTCCTGGGTATGACGATAAACCACATCCGGCAGTAAGGCCTGTGATCGGGAGGTTTTGAAGGGTGTGGAGCCACCACTTAATTGTTGTTGTTCCCAGGTCCACCCTGAACCCGGGGGGCAACACCTGTTAGAGTCCCAGCTAGAACAAATATTTCACCCTCAAACTGGAGTCAAAACGCTATGAAAATATAAAAACACACACACACACACACACACACACACACACACACACACATATATATGTGTGTGTGGATGTGTTTGTGTGTGTGACATCTGTCAGTCTCGAAAGACCTTGGATTTGTGCCAAAAAGTTATGTCCCAGCAACTGTTGATAGCGGAACAGCACCTGTTATGGCTGTACAGGACCACACACGGTTGACAGTTTTGATTGTAACAAATGCATGTCCTCCAATGACGCCGTGTTTTTTTCTTTCCTTGGACCATGCTTCTCCTCGGCGGCAAACCTTCGTGTTTCCTCTCCTCGCTCGGATCCCTTGGTGTAAATCGCGTCCCCAGCGTGAGCGATCGTTGGCGCCGTCTTTCCACCTATCGATGTCTATGTCCATGTCACTTTCGCAGACGTCCTTGAAGCGAAAATATGATCGCCCTCTTGCCAGTGGTCAGTTCCTTTGTCAGAAGGATCTTTGGAATCCTCCTATCAGTAGACTGTTACTTCCCGTGTTTTCCCGTCACGTGAAGCGATGCTGAAGTGTCCTCTTCAGAGCCCACGCCTGGGCAGGGTTTCACGACAGTTCGGTGATTGCCCATGCAGTACGTCTCGGTTCTGCACGCCATCGATGTTGTCCAAGGGAAAAGCAGAGGCCAGTACAACTTGACACCGGCGATATGGCAGGAGTAACGAGAACGAAGCTGGACATAATATCGGTCTTAGGTCTCCGCTTCCGGATTTGTCCTCATGGATTATATTTGCATTTATATATATATATATATATATATATATATATATATATATATATATATATTTGTGTATTTAGGCAACAATCTTTTTTCATGCACATTTCATTGAATACGACAGACAAAGTGCTTTTATTTAGTTTTTATACAATTTCTCATGCAATCTAATAAGTTTTTTTCTTTTCGGGTGATAAATTATATAAAAACTGTTAACATACTTGTTGACAACACAAATATAATAGCCCCATCTGCATGCAAAAAAAAAAGGCTAAAAATAATGGAAGTCTTATTAATAAAAACAAACAAACCAACAGTTAATAATATTAATTTAAACATGGACACAATACTTTGACCGTGTTTTGAAAAAGGAAAACATTTTATAAAACATACATACAACAAACTATTTCTTATTTAACAATTAAAATATTTAATAATTTTAAAATGGCTAAATGTATAGCCGAAAGCGCTAGGATAAAAAAGAACATTCGGATAGTTTTTTATATAATTTATCATTCGAAAATGTGCATATGTATATATATATATATGCATATATATATATATATATATATATATATATATATATATATATATATATATATATAAACCATATTTTCCGGCTTGGAAGACGCTCCCTAATATTTGAAAGAAATTTCTAAGAAAAAAAGTCATTCTCATAGAACAACACATTCACCATACGTCCCTCACATACTGTCGCCACGTATTGTTTACATTAATCACTCGTCCAATTTTGTTTGTATGGCAATGACATAATAGTCAAGAGCAGAAAGGCTTCCACTGCTGCTAGAGCATGTTTAAGCTTGTGGCGCGGCTCCAGGAAGGTTTATAGTCTTGGAAATAATTGTAACAGCTAAGTACTGAGGTTACATCCTATAAAAGGCTGAATTAGATATATAGCTAACATTATATATATATATATATTGTGTATTTAGGCACCAATGCTTCATTTATACATGTTTCATTAAAGACGGCAGACAAGGTACTGCGATTAAGCTTTTTATATAATTTTCTTGTTTTCAAACAAGTGTTTTCTTTTCTGGACACAGAGTGTGTCGAAACTGTCCAAATTAATTATCAATAAAAAAATGACAACACACCAGCAAAATCAAAATGACAACGAACGAACATTATCTACGAGTTCAAATGCCCTTTAAGGAACTATGTTCCTGATCAAATTGAATTCATAAATAATTGGTCACAAAACTACATGCCTATCCAGACGCTTTATGTTGCACCTATCCGACCGCAGCTCTAATAATACCCATTTAAACACACGCACAAAGTTACCAGACTCCACCCGAAACATACCCGTATAGAATACAAGCATAACATCTTCATCCACATGTAAAAAGGATGAAAAATAATGGAAGCCTTATTAATAAAAAAGAAAAAGCCAACAATCAATAATATTAACTACGAACACGACCACAATGTGCTGACTGTGTTCGGAAAATAAAACATCACTCGAACTAGAAAGATATACACAACCCATATACCCAATTAAAAAGCAAAAATAAAATCATCCTTGATAATGACTAAAAGTAGAGCCGAAAACGATCGGAATTACAGAATATTTGGATAGTTTCTACACACACTGTGTTCAGAAAAAAAACACTTAATCGTAGTACCTTGTCTGTCGTCATTAATGAAACACACACACACACACACACACACACATATATATATATATATAAATGTAACGAGTATGAAAAGAATATAAATTCAAAGGTTCATAGCATTAATTTAAACGAGGGCTCAATACCAAGAGTAGAACAAAAGTTATTTATTATAAAGATGTTATATACGGACAAACGAGTACTAACAACAAAGATGCATTTTTGTTTCGATGCGAATTCATCTCGACAGGTGAGGAACAAAGTTGGTTATAAAAGATTCTTTGTAAAAATGCTACTTATGGAGCATCAATTTCTTTTTTTCATTATTCAATTTAAAAAAAACGTAAGGAGAAACACCATAAAAGGAAAAGAAATATATAAAGGGTTTCCAAGAAAGAAATAATAATAATAATAATAATAATAAGATAGATAGATAGATAGATAGATAGATAGATAGATGAGAGACTGAGATAGATAGATAGATAGAAACGAACATAATGAGATAGATAGATAGGAACAGGCTGAGATAGATAGATAGATAGATAGATAGATAGATAGATGTGAACAGAATGAGATAGATAGATAGATAGAAATGAACAGAATGAGATAGATAGAAATGAACAGAATGAGATAGATAGATAGATAGATAGATAGATAGATAGATAGATAGATAGATAGATAGATATAAACAGAATGAGATAGATAGATAGATAGATAGATAGATAGATAGATAGATTAAAGTAGCTGACATATACAGATAATGGTGTTCGCTACGGAGATTACTTATGTGTTTTTTTTCTTTATTCTTTTCATTATCATGCTGAATCCGTTTGTATTTAAATAGAGTCTTGTAGACATAGAAACCTTACCAGCAAATCTAATCCAGTGAGTTTTGCCACGACGTCAATTTTCTCTCAGATATTCTCTTTCCCGACAGTTTATTATATCCCCGAAGACCAATATTCTCTGATACGAGAAAATAATCTTAATTTTCTTATTTTTTTAAAATATATATTTTTGTTTTCTCTAATTTAAACACAAATTCTGTCGTCTGCTTTTCGCACAGCACAGAAATGTTGAACTTTCAAACGGAACTAACAAAAAAACAAAACGTAATAATTTCGATATGGCCATAGATTTCATTTATCAACCGTGAATAACGATGCCAAGACTTACGTTTTAATGTCGTGAACTCTGGTCCCGTCCGTTGGCGTGTCTCTAAATTGAACCGCTTCACGAACAAATTGACTTTTACCATTACATGGTAGATAAATGTGGCGGGAACAAATGAAGGAGAAAAAGTGACATCATGCCGGCCATTTTCCGCCGCCATTTTCCGTTTTTTCCCTTTTGATAAAAGATAACACTGTTAAAAATCACATGCACGAATGCACACACATACACACGCGCGCACGTACACACGCAAACGCACATACACACGCACACATACGCGCATACTCACACGAACATACTCAAACGTACACACACACGCACACATACACAAAGCCCACATACGCAAAGCACACGAATATGTGAGCAACAACAAAGTTCTAGAAAAAAGAATGGAAGCAAAAAAAAATACTAATAATTAAGATAGGAAAGAGAGCTGAAATTTCTTGGGCACATAATGAGGAAAGAGGGCTTGGAAAATTTGTCACTCACAGGGCAGACTGAAGACGAGAGGAACAGTGAATAGACCCTGCCTAACGAGCGTGTGTGCAAATAAATGGCAGAAAGTGCTTTAAAAGAGATAGCAAAAGAACAAGAAATTGTGCAGAACTGGGATCGCCAGCACCGTGAAAGGGCGTGGCACACAGAAGAAGAAAATGAAACGAAGTTTCCGTGAACTTTGCCTTGGATCAAATCAAAATATTGTTTAACACTTTGCCTTGGGTCAATATTTGAGCTTTTCACGAAAATCGTTACTCTCTCTGTCTGTCTGTCTTTCTGTCTGAAATTGTCTCTCTCTCTCTATATATATATATATATATATATATATGGAGAGAGAGAGAGAGAGAGAGAGAGAGAGAGAGAGAGGGGCAGGCAGGCACGGTGGAGTAATGGATAGCGGCTTGGATTGAGGAATCGCAGAGCCGAGTTCGAATTCCCGTCGAATCCATTACATTCACTTACGTGCTAATACCCTTGGGAAAGGTATGAATCCTCTTCCTCTCCCTGCAGCTATGGGTAAAATAGCAAAAATTCCTTGGATGGCAACTGGTCTAGGAGAAGGACAACTCTGAATTCAAAACCTGCGGAGGGTTGTTTGGGAACCTTGTGGCATTCGGTGGCATTCAAAAAGTGTGGATGGTCCTGCACGAAGCCTTCACCACTATAATCAAATCTCATGTGCCGAGTCGGGCTGTCGGTTTCCTGGGAATTGATCTGCTTGACCCTCATACGTCGAATCTCGACGGGAGAGTCGATTATATATATATATATATATATATATATACTGAGAGTGAGCCAGACAAACTTTCCCTGACGATCCGTTTAGGTGAAACCTAGGTAGGTTTGTCTGGCTCACTAGGTGTATATATATATATATATATATATATATATATATATATATATATATAGATAGATAGATGATAATTGGTGAGTGGAGAGAAATTTGTACCAGGTTTCACCTAAACTTTCCCTGACGATCCGTTTAGGTGAAACCTAGGTAGGTTTGTCTGGCTCACTAGGTGTATCCAGGTCTGCTCTACGGTTGTATTGAGCTTTTTGTTAGTTAGTTGTTACTCGTATCGGGTTTTTTTTTCTTTGGGCTTCAGACCTGCATCTGTGCGATTTTTTTGTGGGCATAAGTTCATGTTTGTAGCTCTTTTCTTTTTTTAAAACCTTTTTTTCCCTCGAGATTGATTTGATTAGCAAATCAAAAATTGAGGGTTTTTTAAACGAGTCTAGTTATCTATATTTATATGTATATATATATATATATATATATATATATATATATATATATATATATATATATATATATATATATATATACACACACACACATATATATATATATATATATATATATATCTGTCACGGGGGTAAATGAATAGGAAACCAGGCGTTCTTAACGTCTTCTCTTTGGGGCTAATACTTAAGGTTATTTACAGTCATGACCTCAAAATGTATGATGATTAAGTGGTTGGAGGAAGTGTGTATGTAAATAATGTCAGTTTATTTATGGCAATGACTTTCAAATTTACACACACACACACACACACACACACATATATATATATATATATATAATATAATACATGTATTAGATAATACATGTATATAATAGATATACATGTACAAATATGTAAAGATAATATAAAAGCGTAGTGGTCGGAAGACTGAATTGAAGCTTGACATTAACAGTCGCATTTAATACAGCTTTGATCCTATGTCTACAACACCCCCATATATATATATATATGATTATTTATTTTAAAATATGATTCCAACGCTACATAAGAGTTCTCATGTTTCAAAACAAGAGCCGAAAACTTCAATATAATTATTTGAATTAAATTGAATTAAAGCACTAAGCTCTGTTCCATCTTCAAGCGAAATTTTTTTTGTATAACTTATTTCTGAAATTTACGCGTTTTATAAGTATATTCATTATTGAAATCAAAATTTCTATGGTAACGGCTAGAGCAATTGTTTAAAGAAAAGGGTGTTAATAATTTGTATCAATATCTCAGTTACATTCACAGATGTCAAGTCATGGTAAGGTTGGGGTGTCTAAATTTAAAGCGGAAGATGACATCGTCTAGTCTGGTTAAGTGTCTATGGAGATTTATTTAGTTTTTTATTTTATTTTATTTTTTTTTTTCTGAAAGGGTTTTGTGTATATAAAAATTGTCGTAAATCGCTAACATTTGTTTTTTGACGACTTCATAAAGGGTTATCTTTTTTTGTAGGGCATTTAAACTATTTATTAGGGCTATGGAATTTAAAAATTATTTTATTGTTTGTTTGTTTTTATGCTAATTATTCAATGCAAAAATTTGATGATGTCGGCAAAAAACCGTTAAATCATGTCTATTGTTTAATAGATTTTTATTATTTAGAAACTTAATAATGTGTAGTTTTTCATGTAGGCACAAAGGGCATGGGTCATCCCAAGTTTTACAAGTTCTAGTTTTGTTTATAATTTTCCATTTTACTTTTGGTGTTTTATTCATTTCAAATGCCAAAAATATTTAGATAGAGAAGTCTGATTTCTTTTATTAATATTGTTGAAGGAGCACTTATGCTGCTTCCACCTGGTTTTAAATCCATTCCTCATAGACCCAATGTATATCATATTAGTATTAGGACTCTCAATGGATGAGATAGTACATTGGTACATCACAGATTTTACGCGGCA